AAAGAAAGAGACAGAGGAAAAGAGAGAGACAGAGGAGAAGGTGGCGGCCAGCCAGTGGCCTAGAGGTGACTGGATCTCACATGGCCAATAGTGTGGTTCAAGTCCCAGACTCTGCAGCTTGAAAAACACACCAGATACACATGTGTTTGTGTCCAAAACCCCAAGATAAGAATGGAAGAAAAGGAATGAGGCATGGCCATCCCCCTTTCAGGTGATTTTTCACTTTTCCTCACTGTCTGTCTCTCTAGTGAGTACATATGCCCTGTAGCAAAATTTATAAAAAAGAAAAATGAAAGTACTCCCCATGGGGAATGGTCATGCCATAATCTCTTCTTCTCCATCTCTCCACTCCTCTGGGGATTTGAGGCATGTATGCACACGTGGCCAGTGTGCTTTTTAAGCTGCTAGGTCTGGAACTCGAGCTGCACAGTTGTCCTTGTGGAATCCATCTGCCTTAACCACGAGGCCACCGGCTGGCCTGGCATTCATCTGTTAGCCCATGATCCAAACGCTGCCCACTAGGCCCCACCTCCTGAAGGTCCCAATCCAGCGGCACTGGATTGTGGAGCCAGCTTCCAGCACATGAACTTGTGAAGGACTAAGCACAGCAGTAACTGACACCACTAAGTTTTGGTTCAAGTACAGTCTTAATTACGGTAGTTCTTAATATTCAGTGAGGATGAATAACAAAAGCGTACCTTTAATCCTAGGAATCCTAGAATGAACCTTAGGTAGTGAACACAACTCAGTCTCATTCGAAGGTAGAAAATAGCCATACCATTGAATCCACCTGTGACACAAACAAACAAACAATAAACGTCTTTCTTGAATTGAAATGAGGTTCTGAGAAACACATTCATGGTCTTTGAAATCATCTACTTACTTCAGGATCTGTCTCATTAGGCTGAAGGGTTGATTCATGTCCCAGGCGTGTCCTGAGCATCCGCTGTGTGGCAGACAGTTGTGGGCAGGAGGGATGAAGTATTAGAATAAGCAGAACAGGGCCAGTGGGTGGCATGGTGGTCAAGACCTTGGATCCCACATGGCTGACTGAGTATTTCAAATCCCGGACCTGGCAGCTTGAAAATCTTGCCAGGTGCATGTGCATGTGTGCCCAAAATCCTGAGAGGAGACTGGAGAAGGGATTGCGGGGTGGCCATCCCCCTAGGGGGTGATTTCTCGCTTTCCCTCTCTCTGTCTCTGTATCTCTTTGGTGAGCACATGTGCCCTATGGCAAAAACCTTAAAAAAAATAAGCTAACAAGAGCCAGGCCCTTGGTGATACTTCAGGGCTTCCAGTTCTTCAGTGGAAGGACCTATTTTAAATTTACCAGAAGTGCTAAAAGGTCAACAGTTTAAGTCACAGTTGTTAGGAAGAACGATGTCACTGGGTGGAAAAGCTGCCTCCCGCGTCTCCACTGCTGTGGAAGCCTCGTGCCAGCCTCTCAGCCGTGCCCTCCTCATTGTAGAAGTGCCGCGAGAAATGAAGAGAGGGTCTTCAGCTGCACTTGGACCCCTGGGTTACCGGGTCAGTCTTGGTGTTCGGCCAGATGGCAGCTCTTAGTCCAGCCAGTCTGCGTGCTCCACTACACTGAATTGCAGTGAAAATAAGTGGTTTTCTTTTTGAATTAAGATTTTGCTAGATTTCTTTTACTTTTTTTTTAATGATAGTCTCACTATTGTAATCTTCTTGTCTCAGCCTCCCAGGCTGGGACTATATGTGCTTGCTACCCTGCCCGGCTGTGTTATATAGTCTTAACTCTGTTGCCCAGGCCAGCCTCAAGCTTCTGGTCCTCCTGCCTCAGCCCCCCTTGTCACGGGGTTGTCGGGAAAGCCATGATGCATTTTTGCATAGAAAAATGCGTCATGAATTTCCTGATGATCTAAGAGGTGCACACCACCATGTGCACTGGGACCTGAACCCCAGCCTCACATGTGGTCCCAGCCTGCAGAGCAGTGTCTTAGCAGAGCTTGCCACCATGACTGGACCCAGATTTCCTAACTCTCCCACAGCAAATACTTCACCGAAGCACATGACTTGTTAAGACTCAGTGCTTATGACATGTTTTCTTTGGAAAATGTCTCAGCATATTTTGGCATTAGTCGAGAGTTCAGATACGTGATATTTCACCCTTTTTCTTGGAGCCAGTTTGAGAAACAAACTATTTATGGCATTAAAGATGGAAAATACCTTTTGCTTCCTGGCAGTACGGTCAAATTGAACATTTTGCAATGCTGGAGAAAGACATGTCCTTTCTGGGATTCTCTAGCAGCATGCTTGGATATGAAATAATAACATATTTCAGTCCTGAGTATATTTGGATGAACTCATTGTCAGCAAATGCAAATTGCTTTTTAACTTTTTTATTTTTATTGCTAAAAGCTGTGTGCACTTGCCCAAGAGAGAAAGAGAAAGCATCGCCCCTCCAGTGAGGCGTGGTCACACCACAGTCCCTTTTCCTCCATACTACCATCCTGTCAGGATTTCAGGCACATATGCACGCATGCCTGGCATGTTTTTCAAGCTGCTGGAGCTAGCATGAAAACCATGGTGTTTGTGAGGTCCAAGTTTCTTTCTTTTTTTTTTTTTAGAGGTTTTTGCTATAGGGCGCATGCGCTCGCCAGACAGACAGAGGGAGACAGACAGAAAGCGAGAAATCACCCCCCAGGGGGATGGCCATGCCACAATCCCTTCTCCTCCATTCTGCTCTTGGGATCTTGGGCAGGCACGCACCTGTGCCTGGCGTGAATTGCAAGCCACCGGGTTCGGGACGCGAACCACGGTCGACTACGTAGGAGTCCAACGACATAGCCATTATGCTAACTGTTGGTCCCGAGATCCAGGTTTCTTAACCAGTAGGTTGCAGGGCAGATCTGCAAATTGCTTTTTTTTGGAGAGGTTTTTGCTATAGGGCGCATGGGCTTGCCAGAAAGACAAGAGAGAGAAAGAGAGACAGAAAGTAAGAAATCAACCCCCAGAGGGGGATGGCCATGCCGCAGTCCCTTCCCCTCTGTTCTCCTCTTGGGATCTTGGGCACGCACGCACACGTGCTTGATGGGAGTTTAAGCTGCTGGGTCTGGGACTCAAACCGCAGTCGACTACATGGGAGTCTAGTGACATAGCCATTACGCCAGCTGCCAGTCCCTGCAAATTGCTTTTTACGAAGTGTAAAACTCGCCTTAGGGTTGATAGTTATAAACTTGTCTCTAATCAGCTTCACTTATTGTCTGTACAGTACATATGACCTGAGGTTGATAGTGAGCAAGGTGGTGAAGTTAGTTACCCGTGACACTTTCTGACACACTCGCTTTTCCTCCTCACACGTAAGAGCCAGTGTGATGTCATGAGCAGGTCAGCCGAGCAGATGTGCTTTCCCTTAGAACCTGACCGCAGGGCCGAGTAGCCACAGGTGGTTTCTGATCGCACAGATACAAACTCTGGTCGCCTGTGCCCAAGCACGCGCTCTCGCTCACCTTTCATAGCCAGAGCGTTATATGGTAAACGTGTAGTATTGGGCCACCGGAAAAGTCATGGCGTATTTTTCTGTTTTTCTGTGCATAAATGCGTCATGACTTTTCTGACGACCCAATGTTTTTATAGGGTTAATCTGGTATATATTTGATCTAGCTTGTTTTTAGTTACATAGTATAGAGAAAGAATAGTGAATGTAAGTGTTGAAGTAGAATTCCTATTAGAACGTGGTCTTTTAAAAGGTTTCTATCTTCTTCCGAGTTGGTTTAGTCTTACCTTCTGTAAGTTAGCATAGACGAGGACTTCAAAAATTTGTGGGAGTTGGCAGGTGGCGTGGTAGTTAAGGATGCTGGACACTCCCACATGGCTGACTGTGGTTTGAGTCCTGGACCTGGCGACTTGCTTTCTCTCTCTCTCTCTCTCTCTCTCACACTCTGTCCCTCTCTGATCAAATTAAAAATAAATTTAAAAAGTTAAATAATTTTTTTTAAAGTTTGTGGAAAAAATGCAATTAAAGTATGAGTTTATTTTGTGCAACAAATATATTGAGGTCCATACATAGTTTTTTTGAAATAAGCATTTTCCATGAACGTCTTAAAGCCTCCTTGTATAATCACACGCACAGAGATACATGCACAGTCTCTCTCCCCTTCTAATAAACATGTTGAGAAGTGAAGAGTCTGACCTGACCTCAGGATTTCTTTGGTCCAGTGCTCCTGCCTCGGCTTGGTCCCACCAGGCCTGGGGCAAGCCTCCCAGTCAGCCAGCCTGACAAGTGCTTGAACATCACGTCCTGCTGTTCCTGAGCTGCCTGTTCTGGCCTTTCAAGAACTTGAAAAAGCAGGAGCTTTGAGCCAAGCAGCACTGGGGTACCTGCCTGAGGCTGGAAGGACCTGCCATCCCCACAGGGACTGGTGTGTGTTGTCCTGGAGTGGGGGGTGCCACCGTGCACCTCTGCTGTGGGGACACCAACTAGTCAAAAAAAAAAAAAAAAAAAAAAACTAAACTAAAAACAAACAAAAAAAAACCAAACTTATGCTATGTTAACATGGCAGAAATTTACTGAGAAAGTGATCAGCATTTCAGTGGTCAGTGCTGCCTAAGCCTGGCTTTACTAGCGCTGGGGGAGGGGACAGGCATCCTCTAATGACAGTTCATTTCTTTTGCTGCATTTCTCTCGCTTTCCCCCTCCTCTTTCTTTTTTATTTGATTGGGGAAAGAACATGTAACATGCGATCTACTCACTTGACAAATGTTTAAGTACTCAACACATAATCGCTGACTATAGGTAGGATGCTACGCACTTGCTTTTTAACTTTCCCACTCTATTTAGTGAGGAAGGTCTTCAAGGTGGAGATACCTTACTGCATTGGTTAGGAGAGACACTGGGCCATTACCCCAGTTCGTATAAATTAGTTTTCTACTTACTTGAACAGTTACACCGTCTTCCCCATATTCAATAACAGACAGTATAAAACTTTTCTTAATTTGCCAGAGGGTGTGAGCATTCACCTCCAGAAAGAGACAGAGATTGAGAGAGAAAGTGAGAAGCGCCCTCCATGGGGATGGCCACGCTGCAGCCCCGTCTCCTCTGTCTCTCCCTTCTTTCGGAATTTTGGGTCTATGTACGCATGTCCCCGATGCATTTTTAAGCCTCCCAGTCAGGGACTCAAACTGTGTAATCAACCATGTGGGATCCAGCTGCCTTAACCACCATGTCGCTGGCTGGTCCATATACACTTTTTAAAGCTAAATATTAATGACTAGAATATTTACTGTATTTCAGTACCAGCCAGAAATACAGAGCCTTGGTCATGTTTGCTGTCCTGATCGCTTTCTCTTTTAAGTTTTAAACAAATTCTTATCAGAGAAACTATAAACTAGCTCAATTATTCATCGATTCATGAAACTAAATAGAACCTATACAAGTCGGGGTGGCCTCCTGACCGAGTGGTTAAAGGAGTCAGATCCCGCATGGCTGACTGTACAACTTGAATCCCAGCCCTGGCAGCTTGAAAAACACACCAGGTACATGTGCATCTGTGCCCAACAAGATGAAAAAATATACATGCTTTCTTCTTCTCCCCACTCTCTGCTGAGTGCACATAGCATCCGGCCAAAAAAAAAAAACGAAACAACTTATGCTATGTTACTATGGCAGGAATTTACTGTTTAGTCATGGGGCTGCATGGTAGGGAGAAATTGGAGGTCGTTCATAAAAACGACTTACTAGACTCACTTTGTACATCATTCCATTTTATTTTTTAAGTTGTTTCCTGCCAAGCTGTGAGTGTTCTTACCATGGAGACTTATGCCACATTTTATCACTATAGATAATTAGAGGTTTGGCAAAATTTAATGACAAACAAGTGAAAAGTATCTTTATAGCATCCACTTAAATATAAAAAGAATCGGTCTTTAGTAGAAAAATTAACTCTGCCCATTCAGTGCTTTGCAGAACTTTGATGAGGGAGAGTGGCGGGTGGGTTTTTGGTGCCGGGTCAACCTTGCGTTCCGTCTGTAGAAGAAGGTGTTCTTTGCCAGCCTTAGAGACACCTCCACCCAAAGCTGCTGAGTGCCCGGAGAATGTGCGCCTTGGGCCCTGTGCTCTGTAGCTTATGGGAACACAGCCACCGCATTCTCTTCTGAAGGGAGGGAGCATGCAATAAATGCGATCAAGACGAATGAGCCTCTTTCCAGAGCTGCCAAGGGCAATGGAAACCCAGACAGATGAGGTGAAGCAGGCTGACGTTCCCACCTCTTTTCCAGATCTACATGAGCCCAGAGGTGATCCTGTGCCGGGGCCATTCCACCAAAGCAGACATCTACAGCCTGGGGGCCACACTCATCCACATGCAGACGGGTTCCCCACCCTGGGTGAAGCGCTACCCTCGCTCAGCCTACCCCTCCTACCTGTACATTGTAAGTGTGCTCAGCTGGGCTGGGGCGGGGCCCCTTGCCTGCTGGGCTGGGGCGCTGCTTTCCCTCCAGGAGCATCCACATCTGAATGGGGTGAGGGTGAAACAGGGACCCGTGAGAAGTAATCGCAGGTCTTTCCCATGTGGAGGGAAGCTCCACTCTTGCAAAGAAAACCCACTATGTTAGTGAGCACTTCCGTTCTGTGCTATCCCATCATACACAGAATAATAAAGAACTGCTTAGTAGCATCAGAGTAGCTGAAATCTTTCAACCCAGGATTTTTTTCCTTTTAATTGTTAGAGGGAGTGTGCACTCGTCAGAGAGAGACAAACAGAGAGGGATGGGGAGAAAGCACCCCCCACCCCAGTGGGGTGTGGTCACTCCGCAATCCCTTCTCATCCATTTCTCCATCCTGTTGGGATCTGAGGCATGCACACACAGATGCCCAGCATGTTTCTCAAACTGCCGGGGCTGGGATTTGAACTGTGGTCAGCCACGTGGAATCTGTCTCCCTTAACCACTAGGCCATGGGACTGACCCTACTGAAGAAAGTTTTATGTGTCGTTTGAGGACTTAAAAAAAAAAGATATTAGACTGTTGATCTCTCTACCAGTCTGGTTTGCAGTGGATCATGTATTTACCATTTATTTTTTAGAGAGAGATTTTTGCTATAGGGCACGTGTGCTCACTGGAGAGACAGAGAGACAGAAAGTGAGCAATCACCCCTTTCCCCCTTCTCCATTCTGCTCTCTGGATTTTGGGCTTGCATACACACGAGCCAGGTGTGAATTTTAAGCCACCGGGTCCAGGACTGAAACCAGGGTCAACTATGTGGGAGTCCAGTGACATAACCATTACACCATCTGCTGGTCCCTACAATTCCCATTTTACTGTTGAGATTCAGGGACAGACATCTCCATGACTACACAGTGACCTTTGGGCCACTGAGGGGAAGCGGCTGTCGTGGCTTACTCAGACTTACTAAGTATGTCTTTTATACATTAAATAAAAAGAGGGCTTACCTCTATGTCCTCAGGAAATTAAAGGGAAGCTTGCTTGAGGGTATAAATTGTATTTGCTGCAGGGCAAGGGGTGGGAAACAAATTACCCTTCACATCTTGGTACTTGCGGGCTTGTCCCTGGCGGGTCTGTATCCGTGTGTTGAAACTAAGAGAGCTGGTTTGTCAATAGATCCACAAGCAAGCCCCGCCATTAGAAGACATTGCAGATGACTGCAGTCCCGCCATGCGGGAGCTGATAGAGGCAGCCCTAGAGAGGAACCCCAATCATCGCCCCAGAGCCGCAGACCTGCTTAAACATGAAGCCCTGAACCCCCCCAGAGAGGACCAGCCTCGTTGTCAGAGTCTGGACTCGGCCCTCTTTGAGCGAAAGAGGCTACTGAGTCGGAAGGAGCTGGAACTTCCCGAGAACATTGCTGGTAAGGCCCCTGCTGTGTGCTGGGCTCTGTACTTGCCTTCTTTTTCTGTCTGCATCACACACCTCTCAAGTGGTTTATTGCAAGCATTTGGGAAAAAAGGAAGTGACTTCCTGAGTACCATATGTTGTTTGGGATATTTCAGCAACAACATTAACAGAAGTGTCTTTTTTTTTTTTAATTGGCTAATTTACCGCCCAATTATAAGAGGTTTCAGGTAGGGAACATAGTCACTGGAACTGCCTCCGTCTTGCATTATTGCAACAGAGGATCTCATGCGGCTTAAAAAATAAACAAGCATGACAGTTTTGCTCTTGGTCAAGTATGTGGGGTCTGCTTTAATTCAGTTCTGCTCAGCTCCTGTAGTCCCCGGCGGGAGACTTCGTGGTCCTGCTCTGCACAGGGAAAATACTGAGCTGGAAGTTGCCCTGCTTCTCTGTCTTCCTCTGCTTAAAATGTCCTTGCCAGCTCTGAACCTTTCCCCCTGGGCAAGTCAGCATGCCTTCCAGGAGCACTGGATATGCATGGAGAAAGGCTTCCATTTTTATTAAAAATCTGTGGCATTCTTAATCCACTTAGATCCAAACCCAGATGTCAAGCCTGGAAACTTGTTTGTGTTTCTCTGCTTCTTTCTTCTATAGCTAAAGAGAACCATGTGGGCTACTGGAAAATATGCCAGGATTTCTAACTATTGGGTTGTCGGAAAAGTCATGACGGGTTTTTCTATGCCAAAATCTGTCGTGACTTTTCCAGTGACCCAAAAATTTCTTTATCTTCATCGATTCCTTTCTGAACTCTTTGGTCTGTGTCATATTACATAAACTCAGCCATGGTGTTCAGAGACCAATCTTTTATAAAACCAGAGCTCAGACGCTGTTCATTAGGCCCCGAAGAATCATGTCTTTGCAGAGGGAGCAGGTGTTTACTATGTGACACGTTCCGTTGTTATTAATTTTGTGTTTTTCATGTCTCCCTTTTTCAGATTCTTCTTGCACGGGAAGCACTGAGGAGTCTGAGATGCTAAAAAGACAGCGCTCTCTCTACATAGATCTCGGTGCCCTGGCTGGCTATTTCAACCTTGTCCGGGGCCCGCCAACACTAGAATATGGCTGATGGATGCGAGTCTACTCTAAATTAAGACAGCGTTTTATCTCCCGGAAGTTGGTTCTATGGACTCTACACAGTGGCTCTGTATAGGGACTGGTGCCATTTACTGTTATTGTAGGGGGCAGTGTGACTTCCACGACTCATGAATGTGACTCCAGCCGCCTCTGTGTATTTCATTTATGAAGCTACCCTGGTCTACACCAGGTCTAAAGGTTCTCATTTCTCAGGTGTTGTGACTCAAAGGAAAGAGGTTGAGAGTTCCTCGAAGGGTCATTTCTGGTGACTGATTCTACTCACTGTGCACTTTGCTCAACATTTTAAAAATAACAATCATGAGGATAATGTTATGGCCTCAAATTACTATTCTTGGTTCTTATTTCAGTATGGGATCTTCACTTAATTCAGAATAGTTGTTTTGTGTATATTGGTATATATTCCATGATAACTCTTGGAGCCTTTGCCAGTAGACTCTAGTATAACTTGAATTCATTATATTTTGGATGAATAGAACAACTTGAAAACTGTAGCAATAAGCTGAACTAGTGTCTTCACAATGGCGAACTGGTCAGTTAGGAGTCATCTGACAGCAGGCCACTAGTGACAGTTTTTGTTATGTTCCTATGGAAACATTTTATACAGTACATGCTATGCTTAAGACATTTAAAACACGATGTTTTGAATGTGAGTAAAATTGTGTAAACCACATAATTTCTGTACATCCCAAAGGATGAGAATGTGACCTTTCAGAAAAATGGAAATTTGTAAATTCTTGATGATGCTACTTTTGTAATTCTTACGATTCTATTTTCTTTTATGCATTTGTATATTAAAATAGCATACTGTGTATGTTTTATATCAAATGCCTTCATGAATCTTTTATATATATGTATATGTATTTAACATTGTAAAATATGTGAATATTCCTACTTAGAGTATGTTTTTACATTATACAAATGCAACTCAATACTTTTGTTTAATGTGATTGGTCAAATCAGTGAATAAATTTAATATTTTGCCTTAATTATTGCAAAGAGTGTGATAACCAAATGGGACTGGGAATGGGTTCTTGGGCTATAGATTGGAGGAGAATGCATATCACAAGAAGGCAAATACATTTGGGTGCTTTGCGAATTGTATGCTCCTTTTCTATGAGGCCATTATTGTCAACTGGAATGTGTTAGATTCCTCTGATAAATTGAAGTAGAAAAATAATTGTGAGTCATTGATTTAGGGTAAATGTGGTTCTATTTTGCATCTTGTTTTTATACATTTGTACTACCCTTGAATATACCTTTGCATATTCTCTGCCCTTTTCTACTTGACAAATTAAAAACTAACTTGCCTTGGGACCAGCAGTTGGCGTAATGGCTATGTCGCTGGACTCCCACGTAGTTGATCATGGTTCGTGTCCCGGACCCAGTGGCTTAAAACTCACGCCGGGCATGTGTGCGTGCGTGCCCAAGATCCCGAGAGGAGAATGGAGGAGAAGGGATTGTGGTGTGGCCATCCCCTCTGGGGGGTGATTTCTCGCTTTCTGTCTCTGTCTCTCTCTCTGTCTGGCGAGTGCATGCGCCCTATAGCAATAACCTCTCCAAAAAAAAAAAAAAAAAAAATTAACAAACTTGCCTTTCTGTAAGGTAGATTTAAATCACATGTGTATGTGATTCTAGAGAAAAACCCATTTTAGGTAAAATACACCATCACTTGTAATTCTTACCACACAAAAATAATATAATAATACACTTTGTTACTTTTCATTTTTTAAGAGAGGGAAATTGAAGAAGGTGAGGGTGGGCACTTTACACTCAAGATCACGATACCAGTAAAGCGACAGAGCTGGCATTTATACCCCACCTTTTCTGACTTCACTACTCGTGCTCTTCTGCTCATAGGAGGAGTGATCATAAAGGAGACGACACCTTGCAGAGGAAGCAGCATTCCCTCAAGGACTTGGTTCCCTAGGTAAAAGCAAAGGTGGTTTTTACCTAGGAAACTAAGAAAGTAATGAAGGTTCAGCCTGAAGGCTCGTCACTTCCAAAGGCCCCTCCATGGCCCTGTGCCTAATTTGTATCACCAAAAACCAGGCCCAACATAACTGGGACCTACTCTTGGGTGAATGTCTATAACTGAGATGCAGTTCATGAAAAAACTTTAGTCGATATGAGTTCTAATTAACACATTTTATTTGGAGAAATCCATTTCTTAGAAACACATTGGAGCTCCCATGGAGCCATCTGGGGATGCTTTATGAAAGTTGGTCAGCAGTGATGGCGGCTGAGGAAAAGGTCATGAGAATAGATTCCAAGAGGAAGCTGGGGGTTGAGACCAGGGAATCAAGGACTTGCAGAGCTGGTCACTTGGGAGGCCAAGAATTGCAGCCTGGGGTGGGTCCGCAGACAGAATCAGCCAAGAGAAGGGAATCCATTCCCTGCTTCCACTTGGAAGATGAGCAGAAGGACCATTGGTCTTGTGTGTAGCTAGAACAGAACAACCACATCCTGAAGCCAGCTAGCTACCTTGGGAAATCCCTCTTCAGGCAGAATAACCACATCTGAAAGCCAACTAGCTACCCTGGGAAATCCCTCTTCAAGCAGCAAGCTCCTGACTCTGTGGTGGTGGTGGTAGGATGCGTTAGGGAAGGTAGGCGAGGGTCTTCTCACTCGGGCCTTGAAATGGAAGATGACAAAGTCACGCTATCCAAGCCCTTGTAAGGTAGATTGGTAGATGAACATGCTTTCTGGAGGTTACATGGCCAGAGCTAGAGCCTCATCTTATGACCTTCACTCACTCTGTGTTTGCCTTGAGACCTATAAAATAACCGGGAACAGAGGACGAAGCCTGCCTATAAGGAATATGCTAGAAACTGATCCAGGCGAAATCTGCCCAACCTTGGAGATGTGGGCCCATCCCAGGATCAGCCAGTGCATCTAGGTCCCTCAAGGCAAGTTTTCACGGATGTCTGCCATGTCCCCAAGCACCACGGTGGGACCTGAAAGGGATTTTCTTTTTCCTAGGCTCTCTCCTGGTGCGTGCGCATTGTTTGAAAGACACCAGCAGTTTGGGTCTTCTATTGATAGCACATTTCTGTGACAGAATTCAATATAAAAGTCAGCCTCTTCACTGCAGAGCTCTGCAATGTGACAGGGAGTAAGATGGCGTAACATCAGTCACCAAGGGCAGCTGGGAGAGAACATGCCCAGCAAGAGAGCAGGCCTATTAATGGAGAGTTGAAGTCTATGGAGAAGCACCCTGGGCAAAGGCAGTGTGCTGGCCTTGCAGGTGAAGCAAGTAAGAAGGGATCCTAGCCCCTCTTACTTAGCTAGGCCCTGCCAAGAGGGAGCACATTCCATTTTGGAATTGTTAAGAGTCTTTGTTTTAATTTGTATCCTCATATGTTTGTGAAATGACTTTGTTAGCCAAGCATTTACAATTATAATTTTACATTTTGTCTGAGAAATGACTTTTCTTTTTTTCTTTTTTCTTTTCTACAGAGTGCCTGTTTTTTTTTTTTTTTTTTTAAGAAGTTTTTGCTATAGGGTGTGTGTGCTTGCCAGAAAGACAGAGAGATAGAAAGTGAGAAATCATTTCCCAGGGTGATGGCCACGCCGCAATCCCTTCTCCTCCATTCTCCTCTCGGCCTCTCGGGATCTTGGGCACGCACGCACACATGCCTGGCATGAGTTTAAGGCACTAGCTCTGGGACTCGAACCATGGTCTACTACATGGGAGTTCAGCGACATGGCCATGACGCTAACTGCTGGTCCCAAGAGTGCCTGCTCTTGACAGAGACAGAGAGAGAGAGGGAGAGAAGAAAGCACAAAACGCTCCCCCTGGGAAATGGTCACACTGCAATCCCTTCTCTATCTTTTCCTTTTGGGATTTTGGGCATGCATGCACACGGGCCTGGTGTATTTCTCAAGCCTCCTGTTCCAAAACTGGCTGCCTTAACCACCAGGCTATGGAGCCCCCCGACGCAGGCCTTTTAAATGTCAATTTTATCTTAAATGAATAAGAAAATTATGATTGCAATAATGTGGTTTGGGCTCCCACAACAGGTTTCAGAAGCTGACTCTGTCGGAGAGGACAGAAGCAGCAGAGCCGTCCATCAGGCACTGTGGTAGCACTCTGAGCACACTTTCCAGGCTCTGTGCATGGCTCTCTGTGGGGAGGGTGTGCAGGTGGCAGAGTGAAAAGGGGAGAGAGAATTGTGTTCCCACTCTGCTGGGCAGAGGCCCGCAGTCCCCAGAGCAACAGTGAGTGCTCCTTCAATGACTGGCAGTGGTGACAGATTTCTTCCCACATTACCAGTGTTAAACAGACGTGGGAAATGTGTCTCACTTTGAAATCAAAGTGGAAGACGGCCACTCAAGCATTCTCACATACAACCAGAGCGTGTCCCATCTATTTTCAGTGCTGGGGCTCAACGAATTCAGACGTCTGCGTCCACGTGTTACAGGGCTAGCGGTGATAATAGCAGGCCACAGGCTGCCCGGAGGACCACGGCGGATTTAATGCACTCCTGCTCATTCTGCTGACCCTGTGAGGGAGGCCAGCTGGAAATCCAAATCAGTGAGTGACCAGTTCAGAGCGCAGGGGCTCATCAGAGCTGTAGGAGAAGGTCCCCAGAGTCAGTCTAGTAAAGGTGTCATTGTAGGAATACACTAAAAATAAAAGACATTTGGAATCACTCTACAAATATTGGCTATTATTATTTTCTTTAATTCATTAGTGCTGAAAGTTCTCTCTCCATGAGGCTTACTGTCTTTCGGCTTTACCTTACCCATAGGAATGGAATTTCAGAGAATATTGTATTGGGGCATATCTCCACGATGGTTGGTTCATTACAAATTCTTTTTTTTTTTTTTTTGGAAAGGTTTTCACTATAGGGCGCTTGCGCTCGCCAGACAGACAGAGAGAGACATAGAGACAGAAAGCGAGAAATTACCCCCCAGGGGGGATGGTCACACCGCAATCCCTTCTCCTCCATTCTCCTCTCGGGATCTTGGGCACACATGCACACGTGCCTGGTGTGAGTTTTAAGCCACCGGGTCCGGGACACGAACTGCGGTCATCTACGTGGGAGTCCAGTGACATAGCCATTACGCTAACTGCTGGTTCCTAGTCCATTACAAATTCTAAAGGCTCCACTTTTTTTTTTTTTTTTTTT